ATGGGTGAAACTATCAACATGGCAACAGTGTTTTGCTTTGTGTGCATGTATCTTATTTTACCAGAAATCCCAATGATTTGGTAAAAGAAATCTATTGCAGTTTTCCTGAAGCAAGGACATCAAGGCAAGATTGAGCCTAACCTGTAGATTTAATATTGCAATTTTTCTCCATTCTAAGGTTGTACAAGCATGAACTGTTTCGTGGAGGTCTTTGACTCCAAAGGTCTACTCCCCGGCCCTGGTTCTGATGCTACTTACGTTCAGCATTTAGACACAGTTACTTTCACTCACTATATATGCCAGATATACAGACAGGAAAAGCTGCAGAACTGCACTAGAAGCATATTGACAGGAGACAGGAGACAAGAGTTAACTGGAAGATAAATCTCTGACCACACTACCTACTCTCACACCATCACTTCCTTTTCTCCATTTACACCAAGACTGCTAAACTCTCAGAAGGAAAATTATTTTCTTCCATGAAACTATCCAAAAAAGTATCTTGAAAAGAAAATCCCCAGCGATAAATGGTTGTCATTTATTGAACAGGTTGGGTAATAATAGTAATAGACTGAAAGAGCATTTACATATCAGTGGAGATAAGTATGTACTCATAATTCTGTGTGTACTTCTCTATCAGCTGCAATAATGTTTTTGGAACCAAACCAATACTACTTAATTTAGGCCAATGTATCATAAAGTTCATTTGTGTTAACCAGCTTTATGCGCTGAGTACAAAATACATCAAGTGCAATTTTACACTTACTATTCCGGGATCTTCTTTTATTTGTAAGGAATTCTTTAACATCATACGTGAATACAGTCACATACTGAACAGAGGAGTAGAGACTGTGTGGCAAGAAGAAGAAGTTGACTAAATGTCTGACACTTTTTTTTTTTTTAATGACTTATTTTAATTTAAAGGCTGAACTTTGGGTAGATTATCCCTTGTTTTGACAGCAGTATAACAACAACAAAGATAGCAGTGGAACTTCTAATAAAGTATACCAGAATCTGTGCTATCACTAAGTGATCTTTAGATCATAGAAAAGAATTCCCATACTTTTTCTACTATATAGTCCTTCACCTTATATCCATAACAGTATGTGAAAGTGTAATCACTGTCCATAGCTAAACTCCTCTAAGATTCATTTGGTTGGTTGGTTTTAGAAGGAAGAAGAACAAGAACCAACCACAATTCTATCCTTCCAGACGTAGACTTCAGAGTACACAACTTTGCAAATTGTTCTTCACTCCTGCTAAACATTGAGCCAAAAACCTTGCGATTCTATCACGAAAATCATGGCAATGCTCCAAATAATTTCAGCTGACAGGAGACGGCTCAAAAGCTGGAATGTTTAGCTAGATCAGGACCAGAGGGCTGTTTACCTTGCATGATCAAATTCATACCCATTAGAGAACTACAGAATTAGATTCAGTTCATTATGCTGCTGATGATCTTCTTTGGGGAAAAAGTTATAGATTTGCCTAGTCTGAAAGAGATAGTAGGTATTTCATTCTATCTTAATGGAATTCCTAGTATTTGTTTCTGATTTTGACTAGGAATGTGTCTCCTGTTGTATTTTCTTCAGGTGATTCACTCTTTTCTTAAGAACTGATATAGTTCAACTCTGAAAACTGCATAAAAGTTACCAACATCTGTGGCTTTCTTGGATTGTGGGATGCGTATTTAAAATAATATTGGGGATGTATTTCACACTTAAATGAGTTTTAAATATATTGCATTGTGCTAGTTATGCAAAATATTTTACTGGTTTTCACAGGAGCTTCATTTTATGCTTATTACCAAATGGAATCACATCTTCATTTGGCAGAAATTATACTTGAATCTGCTGTAGAGAACATAAGGTTCTTCCTGTAGAATGTCGTCTGCCCTATGCCATATTTATTGTAGTTAATCATATGGAGACATAAACACACAAGGAAAAGAGATATCCTTAACATTTGAAAGTCAAGAACAGAGTGTATATGTAAATAACATTTTTGTTTCATATCTGTTGTGGTTTAACCTCAGCCGGCAACTGAGCACCACACAGCTGCTCACTCACTCCCCCTCCCCTGGTGGAATGGGGGAGAGAATCGGAAGACTGAAAGTGAAAAAACTCATGGGTTGAGATAAAAACAGTTTAATAATTGAAATAAAATAATAATAATAATAGAATATACAAAGCAAGTGATGCACAATGCAATTGCTCACCACCCGCCAACCGATGCCCAGCCAGTCCCTGAGCAGCGGCCCCCCCGGCCAGCTTTCACCCATTTTAAATATTGAGCATGACGTCACATGGTATGGAATGTCCCTGTGGCCAGTTTGGGTCAGCTGTCCTGGCTGTGCCCCCTCCCAGCTTCTTGTGCACCTCCAGCCTTCTCCGTCGGTAGAGCATGGGAAGCTGAAAAGTCCTTCACTAGTGTAGCAACAACTAAAACATCGGTGTGTTATTTATAAACATTGTTCTCATGCTAAATCCAAAACACAGCACTGTACCAGCTACTAGGGAGGAAATTAACTCTATCCCAGTAGAAACCAGAACAATATCATTGACCAAATAATTGTTTTGATCCAAACTGAAGTAACAGTGAATTGCCTTATAAAAAGAGCATACAAAAACTAACATAAAAAGTCTGAGTGAAATTAAATATTCATTCAACCTTAAACAATTTTTTTTGTTTCATTTTGAACTCTTTTAACAACAGAAAAGGAATGGAAGTGTTTAGAAACTATTTGTAATATTGTAGGTATCCACAGCAGCTTTTAGCTTGCAATTAAATCCAAAGAACTTTCATATTCAGTACTGCAGAGCTATATTCGTCTTCCCAAGTGACTGGTATCCACATCACTCATACAGCGCCATGGTGCTTTACTTTGGCTATCCTGGATTGCTTTTCTGGCATTCTTATGTTGTATTTTTCCCAGCCCTCTCAGAACAGTCATTTGAGCTAGGGAGAGAAAGAATCTGTACACAGAATGGTGCTTAAGGTACTGTCGCTAGCTGGGGGGGGGGGAATATTGCTCTGAGCTGTAATGAGAATATGGAGGAGAGGGGTCACAAACTGGTTCTAATCCTCATCCTTCTTTGATTTTGGGGTCAATGCTTACTTAGCAAGCAACTCATAGAATTAATTCTTCTTCCGTGTGATCACAGAAAAAAATCTGTATGGTTTTTTGAACATGTTTTCTTTTTTGTAAAATAAACTAACTTTTTGATCCATTTAGAAGAAGATTCAAAACCCAGGTCTGTGTTCTCCTGGATGCATAGCATGCTAGTTACATTTGGTCACATTCTGTCTGACCATGAATCTTGAATTCCTTTCTGCAGAGTAATACAGCTTCACTAAGAAGGGTGAAAATTTCCTGCACCATCCCATATCCTGGTGAAATGAATGTTTCCTAGAATAAGAAAGGATTTGAGGGTTTGAATCCCTCAAGCTGAGATTTGCATTATACTCAAATCTTTAACATCATGGATTCATATAGTTTTGTCTTTAAGTAAAAGATATTAAAATTGTTCGTCCATGTAAATAAATCTATGCTGATTTTAACCCAATGAGCACCAAGCGTTGGAGGTTTCAGGAGACCTATATTCAGAAATGTTAACTCTAAGAATTCACAGAGGTATGATATTAGCTTTAAGACACTCAACTCAGACAACTGTTAGAGAATTCTTCTGGAAAAATTTAGGTGCCTGATTATTAAAAGGTTATACAAATCAGCCCTTTTAGAGCAGCTTTGGCAGGTGTCCTTTTCTTGAGAATGCATGGCTGAATATGTCCTTAAACCCATTCTTTAATATTTTATAAAAATTTTTGGCTCATTTTCATTCAAGTACCAATACTGGGTGAAGCTCAGATTGATTCTCTTTTTATTCCCAACTGTCTGACAGCCTTTGAATAAAGACTACATTTTATGTAAATGGTTCAGTACCCACTAACCAAATGATAGGCTTTGGCTCAAATTCTTGCATGTCCTTATAAAAATATCTTCCATACCACAGAGACAAAAGCAATGTCAAATCTGTAAGCAGGTATGCGAATAGTTGTCAGATGTATCAGAAGAGAAAACTTTAATGGTGTTTCAAATCCCTGGTCTTCTGTCCACAGAACTAAAATTCTTCCTAGTATTTTCAACACAATTTTTTGTAATTATAACAGTTTAAAATGTACAACAATTAGAAAAGTTAGTCTTTGATCTTCTATGTGTTAGTTCGGTCATACATTGTAAAAGTAACATAATGTTTGTATTTTTAAAGATGTACGTACCCCAAGCTTAATTTTTTGCTTTTGTTTCATATCTAGCGTCTCAACACCTACAGACACCTGCTTTATTTTCATAGTTCTTTTCTGCTTTGAAAGATATGCACTTGCTTTTGATTTCAGAGAAAATGTTTCTTTCAGACTATTCCACAAATTATGTCTTAAACTGAAAAGAGAATAGAAACCTTCAATTAATATTCCTTGCTAGTAGCTTGGAATCCAGTCTTTCAAAAAAAGAAAAAAAGGATTCATGTTTTCAGCTGTATTTCAGAGTTTCATAAAAACGGCCAAATTATTTCTACATTTTTTGTCATAATCTCATTTAGAAGAATTCAGACTTTGAATGATCTATTTAGCTATAACTGTTCCTCTTGTTAAATTTGATTTAAAGTTTGTTATTTTCTTTTACATAATTATACAGTAAACAAACTAATCTCTTACATTTGCCTATGACAAAATTAGCTATTAAAAATATAATATTACAAAAGAAAGGCAGAAATGGAAAATGTTTTTGCATAACTTTAGCATACAAGAAAATAAATGTGGTTTTCTTACAGCTCTGTATTAGAAAGCTTAAGTTGCTTATCTAAATCAAATATTATTAAATCATTTTAAATATTTTTTTTTCTCCCTTCAAGATGCTAAGGACACTTTTTGGGGTAGATTATCAACTGTTTAGGTCTGTCTAGTTGCTGCTGATTATTAAATTGATGTTTGTACTTTTTTAGATGTGCCATCAAATCCTTATGGAGTACGAGTTTTAGAGCTGTCACAAACCTCTGCCAAAGTTTTGTTCAATAAGCCAGATTCACATGGAGGGGTGCCCATTCATCATTACCAAGTGGACGTAAAAGAGATAGCTTCAGAAACCTGGAAAATAGTTCGCTCCCATGGAGTTCAAAGTAAGTTTAAAAAAAAAAAAAAAGCAAGTATTTTAACTGAAAAGAATGTCAAGGGAAAAGAATGCAAGTATATGTTAACTGATTCTTTGTTTCTCCATTACTCTTAGTCCAGTAGCTGCATCTTCAGTTAATATTAATGAAGTCAGACCTCTTTACACCAATTAGAAACCTTACTGTAATCTTGTAAAAGTCAACCGTTACTTTTTAGTTTGAAAAATGTTTGGTGAACAAATTTACAATTATTTTGCATTTTTCAATGTCCAGTCAAGTAGATATAAAGAATATTTTTGAAGCTACAAATTTTTAAAAAGAGTAGAAATCACAGAGGAGTTTAGTTTGAGAATGTGTATTACATATGCAGTTAACTTAAAAATTTTAAGCTATTATGTGATATTTAATCCTGGGCATTAATTACTGATTTTGAGCTACTTAGTAGCCTTTCTACATACCTGTTAATATTCATGATGTCTGTTTCAAAAGCATATCTATAAAGTATTGTTCAACAAACATTAAATGCATTTGTTAGATAGTATATCTATTATCTATCTACTATATTAGTGGGGATGCTACAAATGGGGCCAGTTCCTTGCCAGATCTATGCTTTCTTTGCACGTCTCTAAGGCAGAAAAGAGTATAAGCCTCCCCAAACAGACAAGAGTTCTTTAAGTACATGCTGAGATGGGGTGTTTATACAGAGTAATGTTAACAAAATACATTCAACAGATCAGTAATCCCTTGCATCCATATTTACCCTTTGATATTTTTAACAGGTAGTGCAAGTTAAAGCAGCCCCAACAGTCTTCTGATTTATACAGCAGGAGGTGAATGGTTTTGCAGCTATGGGTGGGAGTGATACAGCAGTGATGGGAGAAAAAATGTGAATGGTTATTCCTTCCCCTTCATTGCCTCCCATTAGATCCCATAATCCACACACAAAAATTCTGCACTAAGCATAGCATATTCCAAATTACAGAATTATTTCAAAGAAACAGACAATGAACATGGGATTAACATATATTCAAAGAAACATATAATGACTTTTTATCTTTTGTTTTTCTTAACCAAACACAGTAACTATGTGTAAAAATGTAATACTGTAAATCATAGTAGCATTCATTTTAGTCCAGTACAGCTTGTATTTCTTTCAGTACCAGAAGATCTAAAGAAGACAATGTGTTTCCTCTAGTTGCAGGGCATACGCATTAATGGACATCAGTGTACCTCTTCCCATCTTTTCATGTTATGTTTCAGGCGAAGTTTGAGACTTTTTTTCTCATAGCTACTTCCTTCAATGAATTGGCAATAAATTTCTCTGATGAAAACTACAATATACCAAATACTAAAACCTGAAGTGACCAGTCTGTGTAGTAGGGTGCAATGTAGTCAAATGAGAACAAACCCAGTGACTACAGAGTGCAGTCACACAGCTGCTTAATATAAATGTAAAGTCATAACAAAAAGAAGTCCTCAGTGTCAACTTTGTAGAACAGTGTATTTACCTTACTCCCCATAAACCTTTCTTTCCTATTATTTCTGTTAATGTGAAGTTTATTAAAAGATTAACCGATTACATTAGGAAAGATGTATAACTTGACAGACCCTTGTTATTAGAGTTGACTGGAGCTGCATTCTTTAAAAGTTCACACTTTGATTTTGAAATATTCTTTCATAATTACATGTTTTTAAGTTGTTATATACAGCTCATTTTGGAGATACATATTCTGTATAACATGAATTGATCTTCTTGGAATTATTTTAGTACAATATCTGTTTGAATTGTGTGGTAGTTTATTCTAAAAACAGAGTAGAGTGGCAGATACAAATACCTGCAGTCCTTATGAAGACAATACCACTGTGAAGTAGATTGTGAGTATTTAGGATCTCTGCTGCCATCCCTACTAAAATTGAATATACAGCGGCTTTGAGAAAAAGGCTGTATTAGTTCCTGCATGCTGTCATGTTATTTCCCCATGTCTTCCTTTTGTGCAACTTGCCTTACTTTTTTCACTTTATTCTCCTTTCTTGCTTAGAAGTTTTCAGGAGTTTTACCTTCTTTCAAGCATGTATTTTCCTCTTCATTTCATTGTCCCCCAACTGTAATGCTGAGAGATTTGGTTGAAAAAACAAAATAGGTCACACTGGTTTTGGACATCTTAAAGGTACCTCTTAATAGCATGTATTATCAGAGACTACTCCAAGTGATGACAAAAACTAGTAAATATGAAAACAACCTGAAAAGTCATCTTGGTCTACAAATAGATATACTTAGTAAATAGATAAATATTGGGACGGTAAACTTTACTGAGAGGACAGTGGACAATATTAAAAATTAATTCTAGATCCATAATTAATTTATGCTGTTTTCTGAAATCTCTATTTGTATACCCCTGCATAGAAAGATTGTGATTGTATTTCCTATATTTCTCTGAATTTATTTCTGAATTACTTTAGAAATCAAAAGCTACTTCAGAATTTCAAATATTTGCTAAGCAGGAGGCATCTTGTTTTTGTAAATCTTGTTGATGCTGCATTATGTAATTTGATAGTGAAATCAAAAGGGACCGGGTTGCATTTATCAGTTGTTCTTGCAGATATTCCATAATGAGTTAAAAACTTGTTCTATTTGTGAGGTACTACAGGACCAAACCAGAAAAACAAGATGTGTTACCAAAACACAGACTGAACAGCCCAGAGCAGAAAAAGTCTTTCCAGATGGAGATGTCAAAAAAGCAATATTAGTGTCCTTTTTTTACATGAAAATACTGCTAAATGTAACTGGAATCTTTCTGAAAAATTGAGCCTTTGCTTGTTTCCTGAGCATGCAGAGGGTTTCCGCAAGTTTTCTAAAACATCTGTTTAAACCTCTCTCCATTTATGTTTTAGCCTACTTACAGTGTCATGGTAGGATAACATTGAGATATCCTCTTCTAAATCCCTATTTTTGGTTCCTGAAAGGATTTTTAAAGAAGCTTTTCTTAGTATGAAGGCTTTTCTCTTTTTCTTTATACATTTTGAGACATTTAGGATACTTTTAAGTGTTTTGAATGATAAAAATATATTACATGTGTTTGAGACAGTTTCTCATTGTGCTTATGTAACTAAGGACCACTTTCCTACCATGCCTCAACATCTTCTCAGCTGAGTGAGGAGGATGTTTAGACTACACAGTCGGTATTGTGTATTATGATTTGTAGTTGGGTCATCATAATTTCCATAGTCAGTCAATATTCCTTAATGGAAACAAACCCACTTTTTCCATCTGTCACATGTTAGGGACAGGTTTATGGCTAAGATTCAGACATAAATGCTGTTTACACAGGCACAGTTAACTGCTTACACATCTCAAGTAATGATACATACATAATGCATGAGTCATGATTTTTTCCCAGCAGCCAGTGATAAACTATGCTGAAATTTTACAGGATGTCTTTTTATCGGACTGATTTAACTCAGGAGTGATAAAACAGCACTGCAGCCCTTTCTTGCCACAATGTAGGTAATGTTTAAAGACCATCTTTTAATGGAAAGAGGCAGAAAAACCTACACGCAGGAGAAAGGTGTGCCTGGAAGACTGTTAGCCTTCCAATACAGAGACTCAAGGCTAAACTGGGTCTTCTGGTCCCTCTCTACTATGACCAGAAGTAATAGTGTAGTTGTCTTCATACAGTCACAGAGAACAGCCATAAACTCATAAAATGAATGAAGACTGTATTTTTAAATGAAACAAACATTGTGGAAATGTGCCTACAGAAGTTAGTTTATAAATAAAGTGTTAATAAATGGTTAATAAATGTTTCAAAAAGTTGTTGAAAGGAATTGCTACTATCGCTAGCAAGTCATTAATTTTCTTATAATTATTACCCAATAACTATGTACAAAACCTTCTACAAGTAGGATTATAGTTGTCTGGTTTTATTTACATGAAAAATACAATAGATTCTTACCAAGGTTGTTAGGCGTTCTTATGTAATCAATTGTCCAGTAAATACAAATAAGTTTAATCAGAAAAAATTAAGCAGTATGAAATGGATTCTGTGCAAATCTATTCAAACAGCCTGCAATTCTCTTCATCTAGGAAAAACGCGGCCGGTTTCTTCAAAGAATCCCTCAAAAGGTGGCTTTTGTCTCAAACTGTACTAGTTTGAGCTGTTTTCAGATCAAATTAAGGAGCGAATTCTAGAGTCTTGGAGCCATAGCCAAGAATATGTTTCCCTATTCCCTCCCCTTTGTCTTTTATAATGAAGAAGATTTCATTTGAAAGTCTGTGCTGATTGCAGCTATTGAAGGAGAGCACAGAAAGTGAAGCAATCATTCTGATACACCAACTTCAGGCCATTTAGGGATTTAAAAGTCATAATCAACACTATCATAGTTCACCAAGAGATCAGTGAGCAAATGGTAGCTAGATTTTTTCTGCACTTGCTAGCTGCTCTTCTGAATATGAAAATTGTTCTGTTGTAGGCTAGCTGCGAATCTCTGTATAGCTTCACTTTACAGTCACGGTGCAGCGGGGCTCCCTGTGGGCCAGAGTCCCGAGGGGAGGTGGGTGGGCAGGGACAGGCGGGGCTAACAGTGCCCTCAGACATTTATGACCCTGTCAGTAGTGCAGAGAAGCCCACTAATCTTGAACAGTGAGGATAATATCGGCAAGGTTCGTTCTCCAAGGAGAGTTTGCATCCTTTCAGCCAGACAGTTGATAAAGCCCTAAGTGTGGGGTATTGCCCATCCATCGTCAAGAAGGGGATAAAAACCAGTGAAGAGCATTTGCCATGCTTTCCTCTGGAGACACAAAGAAACCAGTGAGAAGGTGTAAGATACCTGTGCTGGGAAGAATTGTCTTACCAGAATCTTCTGCGTAATTTTATTTTTTAAAAAAAGGACATTCACTGATCAATTTCTGAGTAATCAGCAAAGACTTCATGAGAAAAAACCTGCACTGTTTTTCCCTTTCAAGCAGTATTGAGTTTTCCAAGGAAGAAACAGGATGAGAGAATGTGAGA